TTAAAATCCGTCAATAAAACAACAAAATGCAGCGTGCAGAGGGACTCTCCTGCAATAGCATTAAACACTGCAGATAATTATATCGCAGCAGAGGTTGGAAAGGCAGATTCTCCCTGCTCCAGAAGATCAATAAAACAGACCAATTCGTAATGAAGAAAATAGTCCAGGAACTGGATTTTCATCTCCCTATCATTAGATCCTTCGCTTTTAATGTTTTGCAAAGGCAGAAAAAAGATTCTGTTGAGGAATTCTTTGGTTTTGAATGGCAAACATGCTGAGGATTTAGCTTTGCTTTCGTGCAGTGTTTTATTGAAAGCAAATGTGGTAAACCAGAGGTTTTACTCGAAACTTGTGGTTCTGTTCTCTCCCTCCACCCTCTGCTACTTGCTACTTCCCTTCCCTCTTCCTTTCCCCTCTTCCTTTCCTCTCTTATCTCATTACTTTTTCCCTTTATTTGCAATCCATCAGAAAACTCCTCTTAAAAGTAAAGTTTTGCTTTAATTCCTGTCTGTTTTCTCCGGGGTTTTTTTGTTTTTTTGTTTTGTTTTGTTTTGTTTTTTTTTTTAATCTTGGCCCTTCCTAAAGAGTTGACTTGGGAATACCACATATTGACAGGAAAGAAGACACTTCTGGCTGACTTATTCACCACGACAAGCTTTTTCTTAAAGCAATCATCCAGAGAGGAGATTTCTGTGTTTTAAAAAAGAAAAGGAATGTCTTGCAGTGTTGCCATGAAGGATAATGAATTAAATCTGTCTCTTACTGTAAAACCATTAGAAAAGTATAATAGACCTTGAGAAACAGTCTTGGATATTGATGTCTTGGCTATATTAGCGTGTCCATTCATGTGATGACTGCCTTGCCTTTGCAAAAATAATACAGCCCAGGCAAAATAGATGTCTCAGTTGAGCATCTCTTTTATCCGGTGGGCATGAAAAACCCCCTTGTGTGGGTTACCACAAGCTGTGATCAGGGCTCAGTAGCAGCAGGGAGAGATGTGAGATGGGTATTTGGATCTCTAGGCTTTCTGCAGCCCCGCTCAATGTTTTCTGGTTGCTCTCCCCAGCATGATCATTGCTGCCCCTGTGATTTCTGGCACCCGTTCTGCTTGTCTGGGGCAGATGGTCTCCACCTGGGTGGGAGGACCTGGGCTTGTGCCTGCAATGATTCATGCTGAAGGGCTTTTGTTTGGGATCGATCTTTTATTTTCTGCTGCCTTGGCGTTTCTGTTCTGGCAAACATAACACCCCAGACATGTCTAGTCTGATGCTGCTGACATGTCTGTGCTATTAAAGTTTCTGGAAAGGCCTAAAATAAACATCACCTGCCAAACTATTATTTCTTCCTTTCTTTCTCTTTTGGGTAAATATATCAACAATGTCAGCATTGGAAAAAATCAAAGATGTCAGAGGAGGAATAAGCAGCTGTTTATATCTGAAAGTGCTTCTCCCTCGCTAGCACGAGATGACCTTGTCACTTAAAAATCATAAAAATGTTGCTGGGGAGAAGGAATGGAAGTGCACTGAAGGGAAATGAAGTTTGTTTTTTGCTTTTTTGGTTTTTTTTTCTGCTGTTGTTGTTTTAAATCTGAGTTTAGAGTTGCAAACAGAGTTGAGCCCTGCAGCTGGTACTGAACTCAAATGTTTCCTTCAGTGCCACTGCTGCAAGTGGTAAACAAATACTGCTGACTTATTATTCTCTCTCATTAAACTCTTGAAATTCATTTTTCACTGGAGCAGGGAGAAATTCTGTAAAAATAATGCTTGTTTTCTATTACAGACTATGTGTTACACTGAATTGACACCTTACTTCTAAGATAAACATTTTTCCGTATTTGAAAGATAAAACAGGCACCTTGCTAAGTGGGATTAAATGGAGTTAGAAAGGCAACATAACCACATTTTTTTTTAGTGAGTGGGACAATTTACATGCTTTCTAGGAAATAGAGTATTTTTCTCTAAAGCATGTATGTGAATGATCTGTTTCTAGGATGCTGGGTGCTTAAAGGCCGCTGAGTACCTCCCACTGATTTTTGAGAGGATTTGGGGTGTTTTCCTTCCTTGAGCATACAGCCTTCTGTCTCTCAATTTGGACAAAAAAGGGAGATCTCCGATGATGCTTCATTTTCTGATTTCTTGGTGACCTTCTGTGCCCCAGAGAAGAAGTAATTTTGCAAATAAGAAAAGTTATAGACATATGCCTGCTAGGAACTGGATGGAGCCCAGCTCATCAGGCACAGAATGCCAAGCACCCTTCCCGCAGTAATGACTTTAGGGAATTAGAGCCTTGGGCAGGATTTGGAGGTAGAGGTGAAAATTGCCATATCCCTCAGTTGTCTCTTCCTGGCCTGTGGTTGCCCTAATTTGTCTGAACGTATTAGAAGAGGCTGCTTTGCCATTAGTGCCAAGAAATCACAAGATTCATTGTAAAATCCCTTGATTTGGAAAGAAGAGCGATGCTGCTTGCGGGCTGGCTTGCTGGGAAGGGAGTAAGGCATGATTACGTGTTTTTCCCTCCCTTTCCAAGGCTTTGGATGCATCTTCTTTTATGAATTTCCTCTTCTCTGTCACTTCTTGCGTGTCACTTAGTGTCAACTGGGCCTTTAATCTTTCTGGAATGAAATATGATAAAGCCAAAGAGACTGAGAAGCTGTTACAAAAGTGGAAAAAAAAAAAAAAAAAAAAAAAAAAAAAAAAAAAAAAAAAAAAGAACAAAACCATGGCAATCAGGGTTGTATTGATGAGTGTTTCTTACCCTTTCCTCCCCTGAAAATTTTTGTAGGCTGATGTCTGACAGTAATAGATGGTTGAATGGGTGTTAGTGTTTCTAACCTTTTTAGTCCAAATTGCCTTCTTCCTTTAAAGTGTACCGGAATGAGAACCGGCATATTTCATCTTGAGACCTTAAAAAGAAACTCAAAATGCCAAGTACAGAGTATGGTTTTGCTGTCACTATGAAATATGCTGAAATATATGTGGGAAAGATTTTTTTTTTTTTGAGCCCTTTTTATTTTTTTTCTTGGCAAATTACATGGGCTGCTGCCACCACTTTGTATTTCAGATTTTGGGTAGAGTTCCTCATTTTGTTTTTTGTTGCCTTTCCCCAGGTGGCACTGTCAATTTGTTCTCACCTTCTTTTGAAGTTTCTATGCTGGGTAATCATGTGTTTTGCTATCCCCCATCCAGGGCACTGCAAATGTTTAAGGAGACTGTGGCACTTACTGGAGTTAGGGTGCTAATGTATGTTTTCTGCTGCGTTCCCCCCTCACCTGTTACCTCATGGTGCTTGTATCTTTGATGATATCCCAAAATGCACTACACTAAAATGAAGTTGCTGTTAGCAGCCTGAAGCATTTGGGCTTCTAACCCGAATTTTCAAACGTTGGTTTCAAACATCCTAATTGTTGTGGATCCTGACTCAATTTTGAAATGCCTCTTTGTGCCGTTGCTCTTACTCTATGTAGCATGGCCAGGATTGTCCCCAAACCCGGAGAAACTATTGATTAGGCCAGTGTGACTGCTTGTTGAAAGGCACGTTGAGCCCGGTAAAGGTTTTTTGTTGAAAGTGAGGAGTTGGATGCTGTTCAATGCCTCTCCTGGAAGGCTGCCTGCTCTCACAGCCCTAGCTACCTGTGATGTCCCCGCCAAGCCACCTGCCTGCCAGCAGTGAGGCTGAGGACAACAAAGCCATTTTTTTTCTGTTAAAAAAATTATTTTTGTGTGTATCTGATAAAACTAGTTGCTTGCTGTGATAACTGTCTTCTTTCAACAAGAAAACATGAAAATGTCCCAGCCCTCTGGATTATCTGTTATCCAGCAAACGAATCTGATGAGCAAATGTATCAGCTCTTATTAATCTTTCCATGAAATTAAAGAAATTATGGAGCTTAAGGCAGTGACTAATGAATCAATTTTAATTTATGGGCTCAAATAAAATCCTCATTAAGCCTGACAAACTGTAGCCTCAGGTAAACACAAAGCATTTCCACTGTGGAGCTAAATGAGCTCTGTGCTGGATGTTGTGGCTTCTGCCAGAAGAGCAGCAGGGTCAGAGGTCCCTTGTCTTGTCGCAGGAGGCAGCAGCTTGGAGAAAGTAAATGCGGTGGTCCAGCCCCTAGGAGATCTGCTTCTGGCATGAGGAAGGATAAATATCAAAGACTAATTATATTTCTTTCTCTCCCTTGATTGTTTAAAAAAAATAATAATAATAAAGTGAAGGAATTTTTTTTGCCATTGAGTCATTTATAACTAATGCAAGCATGTTGACTATGTATAAAAAACTACTATTTTGTTTTCTAGACAGCATATTTGGTGAACTGTTCCTTTTCCTCTCAGCATTACTGTTTCCAGCCTCTGCTTAGCTCTAAACAGCGTTATTCAAGATGACTATTTTTGTGGGAATGTTTTATAAATATTTTGTAAAAGCTATTTATGTGTACCATAAAACATACAATGATTACTTTGCCACAAATGTTGTTGCTTTAGGTTTTGCATTTCATTTGATTGAGATGCTGATATTTGAGGTTAGTTGGGGTTAGTGTGATGGGGTTTGGGGTTTCAAGAAGTAAAGGACCACACACTCATTTTTGTGTAAATCTTTGGTTTGCTTTTACAGAAATGCCTCCTGGTGCTGTAAGAGCTACTTGGAGAGGAAGGGGTTCTGCCACCATATCTCTTCCCTTTCGAAAGAGCTGCTTCTTTATTGTCACTTCTGAAATCAGACCACATTTTGTGCACAGGAAAAAGAGTTATCCTGGGGGTATGGATTAGCTGAAATTGAGTTAGCATGCAAGAAAATGGCAGCCTAAAAAGCAGTGGCAATAAGCTGATGTGATGCATCAGTGTTCGCCATCAGTCCTGTGTGCTCTCCCCTGGGGAGCTTCCTGAGCTGATGGTGAAGACTCAGTTCCTGTATCTTCTCTCCTGTTGATGCTGTGCCAGAAGTCGTGCCAGACTTGTCTTCTGAACTCTTTTTTTTTTTTTCTTTCTTTTGCTTTTCAGATGCAGTAATCGGACCCAATGTGCCGTTGTGGCCGGCCCTGATGTGTTTCCAGACCCTTGCCCTGGGACGTACAAATACCTGGAGGTTCAGTATGAATGTGTCCCTTACAGTATGTATCTTGATATATTTGCATTTGTTTCTTTAACAGAGAATTAATTTAATGTTGAGAATGATTCAGCCTTGAGCCTGTCTGTTGTTGCCTTGGGGGCAAATGAACACTCGATGACAAACTATGTGCATCGTATGAGACAGAGCTGATAAGATAGAAAAATTGCCTTCCGTGCAAAGTTTGTGCTTACGTTAAAAACATCCTAATAATGCCCCATGTTTGCCTAGCTGCACAGTGTTAGAGTTACAAGTCACCTTCTGGAAAAGCCCCATTAGTGAAAGCATACAGTAAGAATGAAGCATTATTGATAGCTTATAACTGCGCTTTCCAGACTTTTATACTTGCACTTGAATGGCAGTGCACTTTGGACTGACCTATGTCTTTTTAACAGATGACATTTGATAAGTGCCTTAAATACAGTATTGTATCACTAAGGAGACAGAAAGATAATGTTTTGGGAAAATTGTTTTTTGATGGTAGAAACAGCTAATTTATAAGCTTCCAAAGATATGAAGGCAAATTGCATACTTGCCATTTAGTTTGAATTTTGGAGTGTAAAAAGACAGATATGTAAGTTTACAGCAATATGTGCTGAATGGGAAATGTCAGAGTTGGAAAAAGTGAGGTGTATCTCAGAACTTGCTTTCTGTGGGAACCAAATTCTTAGATCCAGTTATGGTCCTAGAGAGTCGAACCCTCATCTCTGAGCAGAGGGGTCCACATCCTTTGAGGGATGGGGGCACAACTTGTCTGTATTGTGTTTTTCTACACAAAAATATGAAGTTTCTAAATGTGGCAAGGGATTTTTTTTTTTTATGGGGTGAGCTATTAAACTCATGGAAAGTGTGACATCAAGGGCTTAAAGTCTGCCTCAGCAAGCTCATACCAAGTGAGCTAGCTCAGGCAGACCATTTGGAGGTATTCTGCCCTAAATGAGGCCTTTCATTGTACAAACAGCGGTGTGTATGGGGAGGGTGGGAGGGGGGATAGGTTTCTGCTTATCGTAGCAGGTTGTATTTTCTTATGATTTGTGATTTGCATGAGGCATGCTGTTCCCTCCCGAGTCTGGACTGGTAAAGCAATAGCCATTACGTAGTACCCCTCTGTAGCCTTTGTTGCATATAAACAAAGAGGAATAGTGGTGCCTTGTGAGAAAGGTAATATATGGATATTGTGCCCTGAGGTGTTAATCGGCCTTGTGTACAAGATGTAAAATAACTCTTGAGAGAGGTTGCTCAGTACAAAACGTACAGCAGGGACTGAATGTGTTTTAATGATCTGGATGAAATGAGGAAAACAAGACCAGCAAGCTGAACTACCTCTACAATTAAGTTAGTGCATTTGATGACCACTTGCTTTGTTTATGAGTCCAAGGTACTGCCTATGAGAGAAGTTAGGGTGGAAAATAAGGGACAAACGTGCTGTAAATAGGGATTCTCATCTCTTGAGTTTGTTGTTCTGTACCTTTCATTGCCTAAGAAACTTTGAGTCAAATCTTAATGAATTGTTACTCGGTGTAGCACCATGGAAGTCGGCTGGTGGGACTGCATTCATGGCAGCTGTGCATGTTCACCTGCAGCAATGTAGCGGGAAATGTGAAATGTTCTCATAGCCTTGACTCTTCCTGACTTTGTTACTGCCTTCCACTTCTTATGGGGAAGGGTGAGGCCTGACACGGGGGATTGGCAACTCTGTATCTGGACCAAAGCTGTTCCTGGTGAATGAAATCTATTTACCCCTTGGTGAGGCCTCTCCCATTTGCCATGGTTCAGCTGGGTGCTGGAAACCAATTGGGTCCTTATCACTGAGCCCAGGCACTTCAGCCTCCTGTAGCCCAGTTTTGGTCCTTGCAGACCCAGTTTCCTTGGCACTGCTGCCTGCACCAAGCCACACTTTGGTGCGTGGCTGTGGGAGAGGAGCAGACTGTTGTCTCCCTTCCTCAGCCACTGGCGTTGGCTCCGCAGCTCTATGCACCAAGCCCTTGGTGAGTAGCGGTACCAGCCATATGGCCATCTCCTAAAGAAACACAGCAGCTGCATAACAAAGGAATTAATATTTCAGCAGGCACTTAAATTTGTGTGCAATTTCAGCTTTCTCCAGCAGGCACTTAAATTTGTGTGCAATTTCAGCTTTCTCCATCAGGTTGAATGCTTTACTCCTTAAGGTTTTAGTAAATGGTGAGATGCAGTTTAGCCAAGTGCTGGCTTAGAAGCAGAGGGGAGCTTGCATGCTTCTCGACAGAGCAGCATTTAAGAGTCATCTTTAGCAGATGTTACCACTGACCATAGATGCTTACCTCAATGAAGTGCTGCCTTGGATAAAATGATGGAACTTTAAACTCTGGCTTGGGTCACTCATTTCTCTTGTGGTTTTATGTGTTTATTTTTAATTTATTTCTTAGTTCTTCCACTAACATGGATCATTTTCAAGAATAAAACATCCCTTTTCCTCTCAGGAGAGAAAGAGCTTTCTTACCTTCAGTAACTATTTTAAAATGCCCTTTTTACCCTCCCTATGGCATCCCGGTGTGCTCACTACAGATGCCCCTGACAAGGAGAGTTTTGTGAGGCTGCAGTTACTCTCAGCACATGGGGAAGATAGAGATGACTACAGAGACAGTTCCATCCTCTCCTCATTTTCCTGGTCCTGCAGTAAGTTTATGTGATGACAGATGCTGCCTACAAAAATGGATGTCACAGCAAGAACCACCGGTCAGTTTTATGTTGATAGACTTGAGTGGCATGAGTTACTGTATTTTTCTGGCATCAGAAACAGTTACCAAATTTTAAGTACCACTCCTTCTCTTCTGAAATACCAAAATCCTAAATCCAGTTTTCTTCCAATTGAGTTTTATTGTAACGGTTATTGACCAGGGCAGCTTCTCCATGGTCTTCCATTAAATATGTGGTATTGTAGACACCAATGCCAAGTTGCGGAAATGTTGCAAGCTGCAGAAGGATGTCTGAAACTGCACATTTGGCTACATTACAATGTGTGTGTGTATGAGAAGCCCACTTTGTAAGGGTTCCTGTGACCCAGTGTTCTGCTGTTATTTCTCAGCATATCCCTCTCCCCTTTTCCTACAACTGTTAAATGTGAAACGTGATGGAGGTGATTTTGTGAAGCTGGGTCTTACTCTCACTAGGAATACTTTGTGTGTATCTTCTTCTGGTGCTTTTAGGCCCTGTTGTCATCACTACAGTACATCTAGGAGTATAATTTTCCTTATTTCATCTTTGTAATATTCTAAGGGACTTCCCATTTTACTCGTGAGCCAGTGCAGGAAACAGATGAGAAGTTTATCCACTGCTATACATGGGACTGGTGACAAGCAAGAGACACCAGTCTTGCACGATCAGTGCTGATAGGAGAGCTGCTGAGCCAGTTGTCATTGCAAGTAGCCACATTTTTTATTTATAATCTGATAAATCTAGTGTGCTGGCTTTGCCTATGCAAATATGGCTTTCGTATTGTATACTTGTCAGCTCAAGCCATCTGTGTCTCAGTAGTCCTGTTTGTATCTCTGAGATGGAAGACGCACACCTCAAGCTCACTGAGCTCCTTCCCTCATTCTCCGGAGCACCCATGCTACTTACTGTGGTGACATTTTTTAAAAGAGCTTGGGGCATGGCCAAAATACTGTTCTGGGTTGGTCAAACCTAAATTCAGACTGGGGAGATTTTCTGATTTGTGGATGGTTGTTTCCCACTGGCTTTGGCTGAAACTGGGGATCGTCAGCACTTGGATTCTATTCATGCTTGTAATACGGTATTAGGTGGAAGTGTTGAAGTATTTTATCTGTTCATTTTTGCCTATAGACAACCACACAGGCTCCCAATGTTGTTGTTGAAAAGGAAATTTTGTTTGCTAGGTGAAACTTCAGTTTTTCCTGTATTCCTGTCTCCTAGGTTGTAGGTTCTGGAGTTAAACAGAGAAACTTGTGCACTATTGTCCTTTAAAACTGAGCTGTTTTACTAAAGAGTAGGAAAGCATGCAGGAGACTGGAGATTTTGATGCACAGAACAGGACAAAGTGGAAGAAAGGAGGGAGCTCCACAGGGACGAGCCTGTTTGCTGCAGTGATCGAAAGGAGGGAGCGTGAGTCATGCCCTGGGCATGGCAGGGGCTCACCTATCATATCATGCTGATAACTTACCTCTCTTCCAGGCAACAAGTCTACTGATGGGTTTTAATATTGGAAAGATCTATTCCAAGGACTATTTCCTGCAAGGGAAAAATGTTAGTGGCATCTGAGAAAGGATAAATTGTCCTTCCTTTTCATTCCTCTGGGTAAACAGGCTAATAAATGTTAGGGAAGGATTGAGTTTCTTTGGGGCTTACAAACAGTTTCCTAGTTTCTTAGTGCTAACAAGGAGAAGGAACACAACTCTGGAGTGTTGTTCACCTCTTTTTTTCTTAAGACTTTTTTTTTTTTTTTTTAAATATGGAAGCTGAAATCACATTTCCCAATTGCTGTATTGATAGAAGGAAAGGTCATTTCTTTGCTAGAAATATTCCTTTTATTGCAGACGGAAGAGTAGATGGACTCACATATCAATAAAAGTGAGGGATGGTGTGATGTGGGAACAGAATTCAATAAAGTTTTATTGTATCACAAGTGGGCTGAAGTGCATTTAAAAACATTAAATGAAGGCTCACAATATCTGCTCTGCTGGACCTTAGGGCCAGTGAATAGACAGATAATTGAATAATGACATTTTTAAGAGAATACAAACAGTAGAAAGCAAACTGATATTTTCATTGCTACAAGATTGCTGGTGAAAAGGGAAAGGGGTGGAGAAAATTACAGTCTGAAATCAATGTAATGAGACCACTTTTTTCAAAGAACACTGTTCTTAATTATTTCTGGGGTGCTGTAAGACCCTTAGGCAGCCTCTAGGCTTTCCCTTTTGCATTTTATTGACACTTTCCCCGTTGTTGAGAAGCAGTGTTTGCCTACATTGCCTTGTTTTGTTAAGCAAACTGGTTTGCGGCTTCTCC